TCTGAGGGTACGCTACGTGCGTACGTAGCTTACCGTACTCTATGTTTTTGCACAAGGTTTAAAAACAGATACAACTCTGCTAAGAAAAGTCCCAGAGTCTCCAAGCTGGTCACGTAATGGTTTACTACCACCTCGACTGCACAGGGAGCACTGCCACCGGCTTGCTAACAGCAGAGGTTGCAGACATCCCTGGGAATTCCCAGCTGTGCACTGGGATGCATCCCGGCTCGTCTCTGGGGGCAGGCTGCGGCTGCTGACCGACTTCCCGGCTCAGCCTTCCTCACCGCAGAAACCAGTGTATGTGGTTGTGGGCTGATGTAGCCCCTGACCCAGCTCTTGGCCTCCAAAACCAACACAAGCTCTGAAGCTTGTCATCCCTTTCCTGGTGTTTTATTGGAAATGCTTGTTTTACTGGAAATAAAACAAGTCAGAGAAAAACTTTAAGTAATTTACCATTTTTGTGAAGCCTAGGAGGAAATAATGGCTGCTAATTTACTAGCTGACTTCTGTGAGAGGCAGCAAAGAGAACACCATCCTAAAAAGGCTTAACAAAAAAATACAGCTTCAAAGAAAAAATTCTTAACAAAATGCTTACATTACCAAAAGCCAAGAAGGCAAAGGAAATTCCTCTAGAAAATAGCCTCATGCCAATGTCAAAAGTCATGACAAGCCAGGAATAAAAGAAAATGAGGAGAAAGTAAAAGGAAAAGGCTTAGCTTTGTGTGGTCTCTGGAGGATGGAGAAGATAATTGTCAACATCTTTATCATCTGGACACAGCTATTTCAACTATGCAAAAAAGAGAGGGCCCAGTGACCCCGGACTGAAATTAGCACAAGGCCATTATGCATGTCCCCATTACTCAGTGGAACTACTTTCCATTTTTATCTTTCAGTAACGCACTTGGGATTGTTAACACCTTGTGCCTTGAATCTCAGCCAAACGATGCCAGCAGCCGGGAGTCACTGCAGCCTGCGTGGCAACGGCACCTGTAGCACTGCCAGCCTCTGCCCACTCGCTGTAAGAAGCGAGCTGCCTTTGGTGAGCAATTACAATTTCCAAGTTTGACACCAGCTCTGGAACAATTACATGCTTTGTGCAATGGGTAAATTCTATATAGGGGGAAAAAAAACCCAAAACACAGCGCATTTCTTCCTGGTTGATCTTGCCAAAGTCTGAATCCACCAGGAAAGGGTTGTCCAACCTCCTGAGCTCGCTGCAGAGCATGACTGCATTCTCTTGTCCCATATATGAGGAGAAAAACAACAAAACGCTTTCAGAGGGCTGCCAGCTCCATGAGCAGAAAGTCAAAAGTAGGCTTGATTACATAGGGAGGCATCAGTTTGTTCTCACATTCACAATATGTCATACCAGTGGGGAAAAAAATGGCAATTAGCATGAGCTCCACATCATTTGGTTTAGCACAGCTTACTCAACACAAATGTCTTTATATATTTCCTCCCCCTGCAAAGCCTCCGGCTCACACTGGTGGTTCCCCTCCTGTCTTATTCTGCACAGCTGCTCTATTTCTTTCCACCAATCTCACGCATACGCCCAAGCCATCCAGCTGGATTCCTTCAACGTGCTACTCTTCTCTGGGACAGAAGTGTCCTTTCAGCTCCAAAGAGTGTCCTTCATTGTCATTAAAGGAAATTCAGGAAGTCCTAACTATCTTCTGCCCCTTTGGAGCCCTTTTCTTGGTCTCCAGCAAGTCCAGTACGAGATGAACATCTCCCGTACCAGCCGGGCTGCGCTTTCAGCTTCACCTTCTTCATCCTCTCCTCCTTGTCTGACTCTTCCTTGCAAGTGTGGTCTTTGCTCACCCTGTTAAGACTTCCTCCTCCCAAACACCATCTATGTTTTTCCATTTGGGTACTTCTCTCAGCATTGTCCCTATCTCCTTCCTTCAGGTGAGAGAGGTTAATTTACATTCCAGGCTTCTGTTAACCTTTCCTCTGCCTTTCCAGGGCTGATAGGCTCTATCACAGGATACCTCTCGCTGTCTGCTTGTACAGCACCTTCCATAATGAATCCTGACCTCAAGCTTTTCAAAAACGTTATCAGGAATTTAAGCTTCTTGTCAAACCCAAGAGAAAACCATCCTGCTGTACGTTTGCTGAAGAATATGTGGGAGAGGAAGAATATATAGAGCTGACCTCTCCTCACGGCTCTTGGCACCATCCTGCAGTTTCCCTCTATATCCTTTGCATTTAACCCTCAGTTGCAGTCATGCACCTCAAAAGCCTACCTGAATCAAGACAGTCTAATTTTTAATCTGAGCATATCACAGTGTAATCAATATTTTTTTGTGTGTGCCTACTACTTGTTACTTAATCTGTGAAATACAGTTCGGGGGGGTGGGGTGGGCGGGGGAATCCAGCCTATAAAACCTGTTGGTGTAAAGATAAGCACTTTATTTAATATCCAATTAAATGTGGTCACCGGAGAAATCACAGCTTATGCAACTTTATCAGAAAAAGATTAATCTATTTCTGGCTTAACCCAAAATGTCATAAAAGAACTCATGAATTTAGATAGGAATCCACTTATTATCCAAAGACATTTTCCTATTGAGCAAGAACAGCCTAAATTGCTGCCTATATTTATACTTGGTTCAATCAAATTTCTGTACTCAGTAGCTGTCATTGATTTTTAGGACAATTATCAAACAAAAATGATGAACAAACTGAAGGAACATTATAGAGTCTTTTTCAACTCCACAGTAATCATTAGAAAATGCACAGCCTGCTCATTGATAACGGTTTAACGGCTCACAGGGTGACATCATCACACTTAAAAGATAGTCACACCCGGAAGGCAGAAGATTTTTATTTTCAATAGCACTACAATTTGCCATTTTAAAGTTAATTGTATTTTGCTTGGTGTTTCAAACCACACAGGCTGCACTGAAGTTACTTTGTTCATATTATGTGATCATGCCCAAAACCACGATTTTAAAATAAGGAGGCAAATAGTTGAATCTATTTATTTAAATTAAGCAGACTTTCTTCCCTGTCTAGAAACTGATACTCTTCAGTTCATTAGCTGAATTTCCCAAAGGGCCTGCAAAGGCACATTTCATTTCTATACTGTTTGGTTTGTTTAGTTGATTTATTTTTAAAAAGTATTCTATATTAAAAGTATTGAATAATAACTTTTGGTTTCATCTTTCCACGTTAATTATTATCTTTAGTAGGACGCACATTTCACAGACACTACAGAAAACTTGTTGAAAAAAACCCAAACAACAGTGTGTAGGTGTATTGATAGAAGTAGCAGAGTTAGCTGCTGGGGCACAGCACTTTTGATTTCTGTCTGCTAGGTCAACCTAAGGCAAAGGGTTCAAGTGCAATGGCTAAAAATCAGTATTAAGCAGTGATGTTTAATGGCCTACTTAAAATGAGTTCAGTGATCCAGCCCCGTTCCACTGAGTGCAAAAATACTTATCTGTAGTCAATGCATAAAAGGTATCATTTAAAAAAGCTACTCACACCTGGTTACAGCACATTTGCTGAACTGTATCTCCCCCTCTAAGCTGTAAGTTCTTTTGCGGTTCTTTACAAATACGGAGTTTGGCGTGGGTGTCAATTTAGTACAAATTTTGCAAAAAATTTGGAGCATCATTTACATGGACAGCTTCTTCCTGTCACTGAATGGCAAACCCAAGCTTCATAGAAGAGGTAGTGGATGTCTGTTAGTTAGACCAGCCCATGCCCTGAATACACAAAAATTCAGTCTAAGAAAACCAGCAGCTTTATTTTGAGAGCCAAGCTCATAGACGAGAAGATGGGAGCAGGAAATGGGATCCAGTCCATTTCAAGAGAAATAAATTAGGCCTGCCTTTGGGTCTATTTTAGGACAGACGAGAACCCAGCCTGGGCACTGCACCCAGGCAGCGAAGAGCCAAGAAGGTGGGAATTGCTCCCGTGCCGGTACGCTGCCGAAGCCGCTGGCCCCTGATGCCTAGGCGGCAGCCCCTGTCCCAGCCCCTGCCTGGCCACGGCACTGCCAGCCCTCCGTGCCTGAGCTCGCTGAGCTACAAAGGCTTTGCTCAGCGGAGATCTGCCGTGAAGTGGCAGCAGCAGGATTCGCTCCTCCGTGAACCTTTAAAGATTTGTGGCAGGTACTTTTTAGCTGAACTTCCTCTGTGTCAGCTCTTCATCCCGTGCTCTTTATATAGCAGCAATTAGCATATCTGAGAAATCCCCATTCGGCGTGTTTTATGGTCTCTTCTCTGTGTATTGAGATAGTTCTGTAAGTTATGTGCAGGGATATGCCATAATTCCTAATGTACAACTGTCAGAAAATCACTCATGTAGATTTATTCACTGAAGAGTTGGTGAGGAAACTGATTCTGAACAGGGAGCTAGAAACTTTAATTACAAGAGAGAAAAAATTACTCAAGCACCTCAGACTGGTCAAGAAGCTCCTTTGATGCTCTAAAGATATGTCCTGAAGTTAATAGATTAATGCAGCATAGCATTTCTGAATTCAAATGCCACCTTCTGCCGCCAATTGTTATTCTGTATTACTATTGCTGACTTTCTTCAAAGTAATAACGATGTCAAAAAACAACCACAAGTATTACATCTCCATTTCTGGAACAAAACAAAAAATACCAAAGAAAAAAGACCGTCTTCCCTCAAGCAATATCTTCTTGACCAAAGGAAGTTCATACAATGTAGAAAAGAAATATTCATCCCTGTCAAACCCTGATCCTGCTACCACTGAATGCAATGGAAAACTCCTATTAATTTCTAGTGGAGCATGAGCAGTGAATAACTCAGATGGAAGTGGTAAACCATAAGTGACATAATCACTCAGGAACTGTCTCTGCCTCAAGTGACCTAAATGGTAGGAAGAAATATAGCGAGGAACATTAATTCAGAGTTTGGCGAGAAGCCTTTACTTATGTTTCTGTGTAACTTTCCATTTCCAGCGCAAAGGTTACGGACGAGTTTCACGTGCCACCGTGCCACGTGGCGAGCTGTAGTGCAAATACCTGAGCAGAGAATTGGGAGCTCGGTCTCTTCAGTTTTGCTCTCTGCTTTGACGTCGATGCGCCCTGGCTGTGCTTGCTCAGGGCCAGGGGCCAGCCGCAAGCGTGCCCGGCCTTGGTCTGGGGACAGGATGTCCTCTGCCCCAGCCTCCCACATCATTTCCAGCTGGTTCCTCAGCCCGGACCACTGGCAAATGTGGACAAGAGGAGCACGCCTGGTCCGTGGCGTAGTTGCTGGCGGCGCCATTGGAAAGGTTGTCCCCATCTGCCTGCACCTCGGCTAGTTGTAACCAGATTTAATGTGTGCTTTTAAAAGTTTCCACTAAGGCTTATGAAAAGCTTTGAAACTCCTGAATGGAGATTACAGTAGTAAAAGACACAGCATTTTTCATTTATTGATGAGAATGCAACCGGGTATTATCAGAAGCTATAAACCCTCTGAGTGGGGAAAAAATCCCTGCTGTGTTTCAGAAGGTGTCAGCTCTGTGTAGGGGCTGCTCACAGACATTCGGCACACGCTATGTGAACATGAGGTTTCGCTGCTTCTGCCTCCCACAGAAGCTACATCTACACCCAAGCCCAGCTTTGTGCATATTGCCCTACTGTGTATGGGGGGAGATGGGTAATGCATTTTCCTCCCAAGAAAGTGGTATCACGTCTATGAAAAGGTGATGGCCACTGTCTAAGTTTTTGTCCTCAGAACCGCAATAGTGCAGTTCAACTTTTTGTCAGGGGTGGCCTCTGGACATTGATCCCTTCCCATCTGGGAGCAGGCACTGTACAGGAAGGAAGGGTGCCCCCAAAGGCTTCCTCATGGGAACAAACACACTGCAGCAAAAAACCTAAAATTTGGGGGCCTGCTCAGCCATCTCTAAGATACTGAAAGATCTTGCATGCTGATTTTATCATAAATTATGACTGCTAATTATGGTATTTTTTCAAACTGTCCATCTCACATCGCACTTGGTCCTCCCATGAGGACAGAAATTTAGACTAATCCCTCCTTTTCGGTGGGTTTCTCAAAGCATAATCTCCTTCTTTTCTCTTTAGGCTGCCACGTAATTCTCTTCTCAGACTCCTCCACTTTCATGGGGCCCAGCTCATTCTTATGTCCTCTCTATCTAAGTACGTTTAACTTTTCCTGTGTGCTAAACATTTACGATTTGGTGCAAGAAAGACATTCATTATCTGCTTACAGGGTTTTTCAAACTGTCCTTCTCACATTGCACTTGGTTCTCTACCCCATGCCTTTATTCTAGACAGGATACTTCCTCTCTGGACTGCTACTTCCATGAAATCAGCAATTAACCAGCTAATATGTTTTCTTATATCAGATGTCTCTGATAATATGTTTTCTTGTATCAGATGTCCCTGAGATGGTAATTAAAATCGGAGAAGGCCTCTTAGAAAATAATGCATAACTGCCAAATCATGGTCATTCTATTTATTTTGTATAAATATTGGCTTTGACCGCGTTTGTGATCAATAATCTCACATATGTCTTCCCATTTTCTACTTCAGGTCTAGAAGTTGTAGCAGTCACACAAAGCTGTACCTGCCTCTGCATCTGAATGCAGTTGTACAACCAGCTTTCAATAAATGCAAAATTTTATTAACAATAGATTACGCTGCTGGTATTTGAATACTAATAATCTCTAGCATGTGCAAGAAAAAAACCCATCATCTTCAACATCTCATTTCAAAATAGTTACAAAGCAGAAAGAGCATTTTAAATCCCATCTTTCCTTACACATGTGTTAGTGATAAGAGTTAACAAGAAATACTCTTGATTTTCCTCTCTTTCTAGTTACACAAGCTTCCCTTACAGCCATTTGCAGTAAATGCAGAGGAATACGAATAGCAGTTTTTGGTTCTGAGAGAAAATGCTGGATCTCAATATTCCTGACCCTGTGGCTCACTGGCCTGAATACTTTTTGTGTATTTATCTTCTGAATAAAACGTGGCGTAAAGCTGCCTCACACCGAGCCTCCATCGCTCAGAGAAACATGCTGGTGGGGAGGGAAGAGAGTGGGGCATGTATGAGGGAATTTGGGAAAGGAAATGCTTATCCTAAACCGTGTAAGAAGCAACCTCAGCCTTTCTGGCACACTGGTTTTAACTCATGAAGTAAAAAAGGTCCCATATTTCAGAACATGTGATTGTTATATATAAAATACAATTAAGAGATTTGGAACTACATGAATATGTAATGTACACATTTCTTTACAGATGCATTTTTCTCCAGACAGGCCGGTGCCTGCTTTAATTTGGAAGCTATCCATTTTCATACAAAGTTAACCAAGAGTGACAGGAAAACAGACGCCTACGTTATTTATCTTTTCTGAACTTAAAAAAAAAAAAAAAAAAAAGCCTTCTGTTAATTACTTTTCTAGGAAGCTATTTTGTGATACCACAGGGATAGATCTTCCATATTCAGAAGTGCTACGGAAATGACAACTTTACGACGTGCAGGGTGAATAAAGTATGTTACATGCAGATATTTAAGGGTATATTTGTCTTCATTTACTGTAAGTGAATATGTGACCAACAATAAAGAATTTAACTGCTTCTGGCCTGGCTGGATCATTTACAACAATTACTGGAGGTCTGACCTCTTTAACCTTATACATCAAGTGGCACATATACATTATTTATTTAGCTGGAATTAACAGTGATCTGTGAAGCTCGCTGTATTTTCCTTTGGTTGTCTTGCTCATCAGTCATAACTGACCCCCGTGAGTACGTTCAGTGGTGACAGTTTCACGTCACTCTGATTCATGAAAGATTGGGGAAACTGCAGAATAAAGCAGTAAAATATTTTTCACGGATATTTAAAAAAAAATTAAAATCCTAAACCATCTTACACCCTACATGATCCCTTGTAGATTGCTGTGAAGACAAAGAGTAGACAGAAATGCTCTACCCTGCTATAATTATTGGAAAGGAGAATGTGAGTTGGCATTAATAACTGCTCTGCAGGAGCAACGAGGGCTTGGACTCCACACCTGACTGCACACTGATACAACGCTCCAGTGTTGTGCAGCGTGAGGTCTGAGAGGCAGAGTGCATCTAAGTATTTCACCGGTAATCTGAAATCCACAGCAAGCCCACCCTCGCCCTCCGTCCGTCCCCTAACCCTTTCTAAGCGCTCCTTTGTTTAAGGAGCCACGAAGCAGACGGGGAGGAGATGCTCGGCCGAAACCTCGCGCTGAGGACAGCTTCTCGTGCGTGCAGGAGCGCCGTGCCGCAGCGCGCAGCTCCTGCAGCCGCATCCAGAAAAAGACCGCTTTCTCCAACTGCCGAATCCCCTTACAGGCCTGGGAGCAATCCATGTTAATGGGGCCAAAGGTGGAAAAGCGATAGCAATGCCATGCATCTTCTGAGGCGCATTTCACAAAAGAAGTCTATTAGACTACTTTGTTTCTGGTAGGGAGGATTTTTATTACATCCAGTTATCATCATCATAAGCACTACAATGGATTCAAAAAAATCAGACAAAATGTGCAATTAAAAACTGTGTTTTGTAGTTCTTGAAATCTTATTTCCTTCATCAATAACTTTAGTGCTTACCAAAAGGAAATAAAGAAGCAATTATGCAGGGTTGTGGACATTTTTATGCATGCACTTTTGTATCAACTCCAGAGCTGATTCATAAACTAAACCGTCCACTCTGGAGGGGGAAAAAAAAAAAAAGGCAAGAGGAATGTACTTTTCTCACAATGAACCATATTCTAACACCCATTGAGGTCTCCTTATTCCAACTTTGGAGAAGATGGAAACACCGGTTTTATCAAAGGGAGGACCTGACTTCTGAGAGACCCCAATGAACTGCTCAAAGGATTTTTTCAATAATTAGAAAAAAACAAGCTCAGGGAAAACTTGCAAAAACGCAGGTGCATACATTAAGGAATTCCCTTGAGAATCATAAGTTTACATCCAGTTTCAAGAGATTTTTCTCTGATGATAGTCATCCTACCAGTGAAAAACAATGAGGAACAACAAGTGATTCACCATAGCAACAAATGCATAGCACATACCATATGGTAATCAGTCTATATAGAAAACTTCAGGCTCTATGTAAATAAATTCTTTATTTTTAAAAACCTGTAGATAAGTTTAGCTAGTGCTTTCCAAAAAAAAAAAAAAAAAACAACAATTTTGATATTTAATTCAAAAGGAAAAAGAAACTTGTTTCACTGAGAGTAGAAACAGTAAAACTAGGGAGCTCTACAAGTCAAGTAAAGGTGTCTAAACAGTATTTTCTTTCTAGAAGAACTGCCATGCAAGAATAACCAGAGAGATTAGGCTCGCTATGTTCAATGAAACTGCCTGCACACACAGTCGCTGTGTGCTTCGGTGACTGCAGAATGCAAGAAAGGCAAAGACTTGTGTCACAATTTGAAAAATATACCGAAAATCCATCTTTGCGCATTGTGGTCTCTGCTGTGTTTGTTAAGAGCATTTCAAACACCGCTCTTATTTTTCTTTGCAGTCCTAGTCTGTTGAACTCTCCTACATAAAAACAGGCAGTACTGTACAGCCCTCCCACAGACACACTCGAAGGTCCTGAATAACCCACGACTAGCAGGGATCTTTGCACCACACTGCTCTTGTTGTCCAGCTCTTCCTGTTTAACGTGGGAAAACATCCTTCATTTGTGAGGAAGGTCAGTGGTACCATTACAGGGATGAATTGAGCTGTGTCTTCTTGTAAATGCAGCTTGCTAACTCGTTCCCATGAACATCTGGGAACGAAAACAGCTACAACTGGCTCATACTTACAGTACTTACAGTACTCGAGTGCTGTGATTGCTAACTAGCTTCTCAAGCACTGCAATTCTTCAATAAAGTTGATAAATGGTAGAGGAGTATCAACACACTTAATTCTGTGCTTATGTCTCCAGCCTCTTTGGGCACGTCCTAGAATGGTGCCAGAAGAAGTCTGGACCTTTTTGCTAATGCATTCAATTTCTCCCTCCCTTTTTATCTGAAAGCATCTTCAACTGCTCTTCTATTCTCATTTCTGCCTTTCTGGGACAGCACTGAACGCCCTGGGAAGCAGAGAAGAAAAAACCTGAATTCAACTCTTAGTCCTGCAACAGTTCAACAGGCTCCATCGCAGCAAGGGGAAGGTGGCATCATGCCTCTGAGGAAAAGCACTTACTCAGATCTCCTCTAAACCCTCTTC